AGGAAGAAAACTAACTCTATCCCAGCCGAAACCAGGACAACGGGCAAGATTGTAAGAGTATCAGTACATTCAGGTCAGTGATCTGTGTAATAAGGATTTACTTGGACTTGGTGTCTATGGCACAGTGCCAAAAGCCACTTCTTAAAGTGACTTATCTAGGCAAACAGAGAATCATGGAAGTTAAACCATACCTGTTTCAATAACAAATCTAGCATACTTGTTTTTTACAGAGGCAGCTTAAACATAAGGCAATGTAAGTAAAACACAATAGCAAATTTCAGCTTTGTCTTGTTCTGTCAGTGTTGCAACAAATCTGGTGATATGTCATCATTCACACGGTTTAAAGCTGCAACATCTAATTATGCCACAATGAATTAAGACAGAATTTTCACAAAGTCCGTTGTATGTTATAACTTTACGATTTCATTTAAGACTTTGAAACCCTTTTTTCAGTGCTCTTACCACTTGCCCAATTAAAAGCGAAGCTGGAAATAATTATTATTTGTTCTCAGTACAAGTCTCAAAATATTTCACAGAAGTATGGAAGCATGAGTAACTTCAGTCTTCTAGATACACGCTAAAGAATAGAACCAATCTGCCCAAGTCTGTGTTTGAGATGGTGTGGATACAGGTGACAATGCTGTTAAAAATTGACACATGGTTACATTTTGATTGTGTTAGTTCCTCCAGTCCTATTTCTTCCCCTGCCCCTCAGCCCCTACTCTCTGTACCTTCTGTTGTGGAAGGTGGGGGTTTTTTTATGGGTAGGCTAATTGGTATGTTCTGGAAACTGGTGCCCTTCTCTTGAGTCTCTTACTTCATGCTGTATTCCCCCATCTTCTGGCCCATTGTGTTTTGAGTTTGCCTTCCATTCTTCTTCTGTCAGATTTTAATCTGTATGAAGATAATTATCTAATTGTTTAAGAATTGCATGCTGCTACTTTAAACTCAACAGTATTCTTGACTTAGTCAAAGAGATTGTCTGGAAGTTTAGTGTACATCGGCTATGGCTGGTGTATTGTCTCTAGCAGATTGGCCTCAACAGAAAAGTGTAGCCTTTTTAAAATTGAATTTCATAGAATCATAAATTGTTTAGGCTGGAAAAGACCTTGTCGTGGTTTAGCCCCAGCCAGCAACTAAACACCATGTTAAGTTAATAAGCCACTCGCTTATTCCCCCTGCTCCGGTGGGATAGGGGAGAGAATTGGAAGAGTAAGAGTGCAAAACACTGCTGGGTTGAGATAAGAACAGTTTAATAATTGAAATAAAGTAAAATAGTAGTGATAATAATAACAATATAATAATAGTAGTAATAATAATATACAAAGCAAGTGACATACAATGCAATTGCTCGCCACCCGCCAACCGATACCCAGACAGTTCCTGAGCAGTGGTCACTGCCTCCCAGCCAACTCCCCATGGCTTATATACTGAGCATGATGTCATATGGTATGGAATAGCACTTTGGTCAGTTTGGATCAACTATTCTGGCTGTGCCTCCTCCCAGTTTCTTGTGCACCTGGCAGAGCATGGGACACTGAAAAGTCCTTGACAAGCATAAGCAGTACTCAGCAACAACTAAAA